ACGGGGCTTAAAGTTAACATTGTATGTTACCGGACCCAAACTCTGGAAAGAGTGTGGAAGACACTTTTCTCATAGGTATTTCTGTCAGTTTACCATTCAAAGTCAAATATGCTTTAAAAAGTGGTTGGATTAAAATTGTGCTCTGCTTGTTGGGCCTCTGGAAATTCTTCATTTAGTCCAGGAAACAAATCAGGATGTGAGCTGCTGCCTCACTTTAAATAAACTGCCTTGGGACCAGTCCTTGCCCAGAGTCAGGCCCGGCAAAGGCTCTGAGGCAGCTCTGTGTGACACAAAAGATAGCAAACTCTGTGCCTAATTACTGCCCATGGTCCCCCGGCACACCCCCAAGGGGAACCTGCTCTTCACACACTGCTCTGTAGGTACCAGAGGTTGCCGTCTTAGAAGACTCTACCTGCGATGAAACTCAAGGACCTTCTCAATGAGGACAACACTACTTCCACAAAGGAAAAAGTCTTTGAAAAAGGGTATTTAACGCAAAAACGCAAAAACGCAAAGTACTAAAAGCCCGTCAACAAAAAAAGCATTTCAGCAGAATGCCCCACTAGTCCAGGACTCATGCCCACTGGTAGTTATTAAGGTAATCAAGGATAACTATCACTTCTAAAGTTCAGCTGAACCCAAACTGCTAGGCAGTTGGTCCAAGTCAAATCAACCCAAACCAAAACCACAAAAGCTAATTTCAAAGCAGGACCCTCCAAAATTAAACACTTTGTTTGTTACTTACACATACAGCAGACACGGGACCTCCTTACATTCCATTAGGCCCCTTTGCAAGGCAACCTCTTCTGGCATGCTGATAAGAATCCAGGAGAGCCACTTCCTTTTCTGCTATGATAATGGTATTTATACACTAAACATATAAGAGTCTGAAAAACCTACTTCAAAAACCCTTCTGGCTGCAATGGCACACTTGGACATAGCAGTAAAACTCGACCATTAAACGCTCAGTGAACCCAGGTATGGGATGATCTGGCTTTGATATGCCCACATGCCCCAAATTTCACAGGAGCAACAAAAATTCAAGGAACCCTCCATGCCCACTGCAATTAAAATGGATAATGGCTATTTATGATGTTGTTATGCCCTTAAAAGAAATCACCCACACAGGTCACATGGCCTCTAAGTTCCAAGTTCCTCATCTACAAAATAGGCATAATAGTAGCCAGCTACAACCTCAATTTTGATCTGAATCAAATAAAGCATCACATATGAAGACACCGTGTGATCCACAATATAAAAATGGATATTACCATGAGGATTCCTGTATGGCTTCATTTCCCACCCTGGACTTGAATCCACAATTTGCCAAATTAATCTAAAATGTATTTTCTTCATGAATTCTCTTGTTTAAAACTTCTGAAAGACACTGGGTAAAATATTCATGTTTTAGCCTGGAGATCAAAGTCTACCATCTCCAACTTTATCTTCTGAAATATTCTCCCCAACTGGAACCTCTTGCCCTGGGCAACCAGGTCAAAACCGGCACACAGTCTTCTCACAGGCACTTCGGGTTTGGTCCTGCTATCTCAGCGCTTTTTTCTGATACTGGGAGATCAGCACCCCACCACTCCCACCCCCATCCCTGCCCCCCTCTGAGCGCAACCTTAACCTGTCTCAAAGCTTTATCTCCTCCAGGGACCCAAGAGAGCTCACCCTGATCTCTCCCTGTGTCACATGGCCTTTGCAGTTTACCCTTTGCTATTCGCATGTTTTCTACGTGTTCAGGTGCAGTCTTCAAAACACACAAATTCTCAATTGCAGATCATTTATTTGTTAGGAATTATGGACTTTGCTTAATAGCATTTTAGTGTATGCAGGAATACAGTACAACAGCCAACTACAAAAGGGTTGCAAATATTTACAAAGCTATTACATGCTAGGTTCAAAAGTACAGGGGAAAGATGGGAGAGGGCTTTCCTCACAGATACTTAATTTTCAAGTTCAGTAACTTATGTCCCAGGGGGATGGTAAAAACCAGAATACACAATATCAAGTAGGTAAATAATGTATGATCATTCTAAACAAGAAACACATAATCTAAACATAAGCTAATAAAGAATTGCCCTTGGACTACCTGTAAACCAACAAACCCTTTTTGGTCAGAGATTTTCTCTTTTTTTTCTTTTCTTTCTATTTGTAAGTAATTATAACTCAATAATAATTTTTTTTTAAACTTCACATTTACTTCAATTTCTATGGATTCATTGATTTACAAATCGGTCAGCCCATGTTCAAATCATATTGGTTTCTAAAAAGTTTCTAAAACACTAATGCTTGCATGGAGGTAGATGATATATTGGTATAAAACTGACACATAAGTTGCAGCTTATAAAGTTGCTGTTCCTAAAAGTACAATAGACTATGACAATATTTTTAAAAGTTTTAAATCATACAGGCTTATAGCCTGATTATAACTGTTTGAATGTTCTGAAAGTCTTATAATATCTAATAAAACATCACAATTTATAGCAGTCTTAAGTTACATAATGAATTATAAATCCAGAAGTCCAGATGGGCATTAGTTTCATTAATATTTCAGTCAAAATCCTGTATTCCACAAAATATCATTCCAAATCAGTGAATGAATGAGTTACTCACAATTAAAATTAAATGTTTACATCCAAAATTCAAAAGACCTATTTAGCTCCTGAATTTCATCAGCTCCATTGTATGTTTTGCTAAAGTATAATTATTCAAGGATCTTTCACTGTATCTTTACAAATTGTATCACTTAAAATCTCACTCTATCCTACACTTCCAAGAAAAAGTGCTATATTTATATGAGAAAAAAAAATCATAATAAACAATAATAAAGATATAAGCTTTTCCAAACCCTGTATTGCAAGATCCCATTTAACTTGGTGATAGATATCTTAGGTAAATAAATATGCAATCTTTCATAGTGACCCCAGCAAAACTAAGTTTTAGACTCCTATTCCATGGCAAATATGTAATCATGACTTTCTATGTAGAAAAAACAAACAGCCCAGGCCTTCCTAAATACTCTTCCAAATAGCTTACTACCACTATCTGTATTTTCTGTTCTCAACTATTTATAGAATGATCCATGACTTTATTAATGGACTAGAGATTATAAAGGTGTGTAATGTGAACTCTTCCAAAGAGGACAGAAAATTCAGCATCCTCAATTGGTCAAAAACAACCTGCAGAACACATTTAAGGAAAGGAGCAATTTAGAAGATAATTCTTTCACAGAAACAAATGACAAGGAAAAAATCAGAAGCAGCTCCCATACGTGGCTTTTCACATTAGGTTAATTTTCTCATCTGTTCACCAGAAATATGACAGAAATGTGACTCATTTACAGAAAGTTTTCAAAGTCTGCTCATATTAAGCAACAAATCGTCCATGACTTCCCTTAAAATCACCTTGACCAGTGAGAATCAAAACTTCTGGTCCTAACTACACCCCCTCAGTATGTCAGTGCTGAGAAACACTCCATAGCTTTATATTTGTGATAATTCAGGTTGCGCTCATGGGATCATGTCAAGATGTCATAAATCATGATTTATTATTTCTCTGGAGTATCAGAAAGCTGCTGACCTAGGAGAGTTTGACAAAGACCTTGTTTACAAAGGAAGACTTCTAAGGGGGTTGGGGGGGAACCATAAAAACACTGGAAGACAGCATCACTTCTATAATTTATGAAAGTTTTTTCTTTTATGGTCTTATTGCAGTATATAATAAGCCTTTAAACTGAAATGTCAAAATATTACAGTAACATAAAGGCTATCATAATTATTTCCTAAAAAAGCATGGGATGTGCTTTTATACTGGTCTATAAAATGATTTAACTTAAACTTAATCAAAGAGAACAAGTTTTCAATTATTTATCAACGTGTGATTTTGTAGTTACACTGCCAGAAATATTTTAAACAAAATTCAGGCATTAACAGTATAATACAGGCAGAGGAACTTTTTCTTTTTTTTGTCAATTCCATGCCTCAGGTGTGTTGGTCAAAGCACTTTTCAAGAAACTTTATGAGAAATGCTCAAAACCACTTTAAAAACAAACAAAAGAAAAGATCTGAGGCTGCTTTGAACACTCTTTCAGTGAGTATGTTCTGCGAAACACCTCGGTGCAGCTAGTTCCCAGTCTGGGATGTAAGTGATGTCACTCCGAAGAGAAAGGCTGCATGGAAGGCTTCTTCAAGGGTTCTCATTCCCCAAACTCCTCCTTTATTTTACAATGTTCTTTACCAATATGGCACTGCTTTTTAATGCCCCCAACAAAGTAGATGCAACTGGGTCTACAGGTTTGGTCTTTTTTTCTTGTCCACTTCAATAAACCTCTTTTGTACCTGAGACCCCCTCTTTCCAGTAGCAAAAATTTTGAGTTGTCAGGGAGCTTAAAAAAAAAGGTCCAGGAAAATAAAAGGGGAATTAGATTCCTAACAGTAAAATTGTGTCTCAATTTGCATAACAATGCACCAACTTGGATTCAAACCTGCCACACCTCTTAACACTTCCCCAGTGTGCTGGAAGTAGGCTGGAAGCCTACCAAGTCTGGTGTTGGCAAACAAGCCTGAGGTAGTGGTCCCCAAAATAACTGGTGGAAAATATTACTGAAGTATTTGAATGTGTACTGAAGTACATACACACACACATAACATTGGGTATAGCTTTTTAGTACAGCTCTCAGGGGTTTCTGAGTCTTAAATGGTTAGAAATCTTCTGTTCCACTGCAAGGAACAATTTTTCTGTTCATACAATCTGTTGCTACCAGCAGGAGACAACAAGGTGTAAATAAAAAAAAAAAAGAGTCCTTTGAAATGAAGTTTAAAATTTAACTCTGCTGTTGGTAACACATAGATAAAAATAAACAGTCATGCAGTGCACAAACTTGTATCTTTAATGTCTACCTTAAGCTCTAACATTACACACATTTGGGAATACAGCCTGCATAACCACCAAGGCACAATGACACCTCTCCTTAAAATATTAACCCACTGGCTTTACTGTTTCAAAAGCACCGACCTCCCTTCTTCAGGTTAGGGAGGAAGCAAAAAAAAGGGACAACCTTGCAAAACTCTCCCAAAAGTTACATAAACAAAGGAGGGAAGAAGCCCAGTAAGGGTTTTGCACCCATGTGCTACTAAAATTATGTAACACCCGATGCAGACATTAAAGGAATGGATTCTGCACAACACCCCCACTTCCCTCGATTCCCAAGCTTGTTTTTTCTCTCAAAAGACCCAAATGCCCGACAAGACCAGGTGGACGACTTTGAATATTTATTTTATGGCTGGAGTAAATAGTGCGAGAGTTGGAGGCATGTTTAGGCCCTAAGTTTGAATGTGTAACAGCCCCAGGGCACAGAGTCTCCTCTCTCCGGACCCGGAGAAGAAAACTGACAAGCGACAGCAGCCAGCACAAGGCCTTCTCCTTCCCCCACACGGCGCTTCCCGCTGTAAAGTTTTCCACGCGATCGATCGGCGGGCAGGGAGCCTGTTTCCCCCGCCTGCCTGACTTTGCAGGGAAGGCGAGCAGGGAGACCGAAGGGGGCCGGCCGGGAAACGGCTGGAAAGCTCCGCACTCAGCGGGAGGCGGTGGCGGCGGCGCAGGCTCCTTACCTGGGGGACGCGGAACAAAAAGAGGCGCGAGGCTCGCCGAGACTGCGGTGGCGGCGCGGTCGGCGGCCGGGAGCGGGTGTCCCCGCCGGAGCCCTAGGCCCGCGCCGGAGCCCGCGGCCCGGCCCCCGCCGCCGCCGCTTCCTCTCTCGCGCGCGTCATGTCACGGCGATCAAACATGTCTGTGCGCTTCGCTGCTGTGACTTCCTGATTCTCTGCTGCTCGCGCGCGCACTCACACTCACACTCACTGCCACACGCACACGCCACCCCCACCAGCCCCCGCCACTAAATCTCGCCTGGTCCTCCCGAGCCTCCCGGGAGGGCGCGGGCAGCAGTGGCTGCCGGCGCCGCTGCTCTCGACGCGCTGGCCCGGCGCGCACAACACACACTCACACTCACGCGCAGACACATTCACGCCGGCCCAGAGGGCGCGGAGACGCGAGCCGCGGGAGCTCGCCGCCCCCTCCCATCCGCCTCCCTGCTTAGCCGCCCTGCCAAACTTTTTTTTTCCTGCCTGATCCTCGTCCAACTTCCCTCCACCCCCTCACCCCGATCCCCCGCAGTCCGGCCAGCCCGGCGCTCACCAGAATCGGCCGCATACTGCAACCCGGATAAAATAACGCAGTCGAGGCGGCGGAGACAGAGACGAGCGCGCGGACACTGGCAGGAGGCGATTTCCCCGCGTGTACCGGAAACCAGCCCGAGGGCCCGGATCAGGGTGCGGGTGTACCCTGGAGCCCGCACTGCTGCGTCCGGCCCCGGGCAGTGCACCTGGCCCAGGCTGCGAGGCCTGGTGCGGGGCAACGGGCTAGGTGTGCGCCCGCAGCAGGAGGGCGCCTAGGGGCTGGCACGCCGGACCGGTTATTTGGGGAAGTGCATCGCGACACCTTTGCAGATGGCATGGCCGTGTTTTGCAACGCACGCGGGAGAAGGGAAGACGGCCGGATGGAGGGGGAGAGCAGAGGAAGGGGCAAACCAGGGTGGGATGGGAATAAAGCAAACTCGAAAGCAGGGAACGAGAAAAAAAGGGGTGCGTGTCATCGTTGGGAGGAGGCTCCCACCCGGTCTCCCCGCCTCCCGCCCTCGCCACCCCCCCACTCCCTCCCCTCCGCAGACCTTCCCCTTCTCTGGCGAACGCCACCGCCGCTGCCCGGGTGCGCGCGAGTCCTGTTTGTGACAGTAAGGCAGAGGATTATCCGGATCATGGCCTCCCCGGCCCGCAGCCCCTATGGCTCCCCCGAGCTCCAGAGCGCCCCCACCACCCGGACAATCGCGGGGGACCCACGCCTGCGGTTCCCGCGACTCAAGCCAAGGGAAGCCGCAAAGCAAAAGAAAACAAACCCGGGGAAGGGGAAGGGCAGGGTGACTGAGCCCGGCGGGCACCTCCGACCTCCTTTTTTGGGGCCTCCTCCCTCCCTCCTATCAGTGCGGCCCGGGCCGGACACACCGAACTTCAACACCCGAGCCGCGCGGCCGCCAGGTACCAAGGGCAGGGACGTCCGCAGAGCCCTGGGCGCATCCCCCAGCAACCCCTTTGCCTAAAGGCCTGCCTACCGGTCAGCGTCCCCATCCCCGCCTAAGGGAACGCGCAAAGTAGAGGTGACACCTCCGATCCGGCACGCACCGGCCCCGCGGCGGTGCCTGCCGCCACCTCGGCGTTCCCGTTCCGGCTTCTCCCGCCGCGAACCGCTCGCGTCTCTGCAGCCGGAACCCTTTAAACAAGTCCCCTGGAAGCGGGTGGCAGCAGCGTTCGTTGGCTCCCGGCCGCTAGCCCGGGCTCCTCGCCCGCCTCTCCCGCTCCCCTTCCGACTCTTCCGGGGAGGACTCCTCGGGGCGAACTGTCGCGTTTTCCATCCTCCTCCCCTGTCCTCCTGCCTTCCCCTTCCTTACCCCCTTCAGCAGTTTTTAAGCGAGTGGAGCGGGATGGGGGTCGGAAGGTAACCTTACCGAGTGTGTGTGTTGCAACCTTGAGTTGGCAAAGCATCGCTGACTGCCTACCTGGGGTCAAAGCTATGGTTTGTTGGGGTTTTCCCCGCCTTGTCTCCTAGAAGTAGTAATTATTACTGTTATTATTAGAACAGCAAGGTTCGGCTGAAACTTTCCCGTTTCTTCCACCGCCGCCCCAGAGCTGTCTGTCGTTAGAACATTCCACCTGAGGCCCGCGGGGAGGAGGCGGGCGTTTTTTTGGTTGTGGCGGTTGGCCCGCCTGTTTGTTTTGGTCTCCGTGCATGCCCAATAAATAATAATTAGGATAATAACGAATAATCCCCGGCGAAGGCGGCGCGGTGCTGGAGGGGTTTGCGCTGCGGCTGCAGCCGGGAGGCCGGAGGGAGGGGAAAGAGAAGAAAGGAGTTGTAAGTTATATTTACCTTGCTCGCGAGAAGTGTGCTGGCTGAATCTCTTCCCTCTGTGAGTCAGCCAGAGTACAGAAAGAGAGAGAGAGCGGACTAGATTATGAATATGACTTCATTGATGACAGCCATCCCCTCCTCTTCCTAAACTTGGGCTCCGCCCCGCGTCCCACCCTCGCCGCCTCCACGGGCGCCGGAAGACGCGCCGCAGTTGGCCCCGCGCGCCGCTCCTCCCTGCCCGCCCGGGCGCGGGTTGGCGGGACGCGCCTGTCACTCGCCCCGCTCGGCGACTCCGGGAGCTCGGGGGGGAGCAGGGGGCGGTGTGCAAGAATGTGGATCGAGACAGCTCTACTGTATGCGTGGATCCGTGTGTGTCTGCAAGGCGCCGGCTCTCGGGCCGTGTTTGTGCCTGGAGCAGAGAAACTGCGCAGGACGCAGAAAGCCCCAGGCCCTGCTGGAGTTAGGCGCTCGGTATCCCTCTCCCGGCAGTCTTCCATGGGCTCTGCGGCGCTCCCCCGCGGGGGCTGGGGAAACGGAGGCGGCGAAGCGAAAGGGAGAGGAGCCGTAGTAATAGCGCGTAGTAGTTTGGCGGCGTGGGGGGTGGGGGGGTGCGGTATATGGGGAAGGTGCTGGAATTTAACTGTGCCTCCGCCGGCCAGAGCGATCCTGCAGAGGGAAAGGGAGGAGCCGGGGGAGGGCACCGAGTGGCACCAAAGCTGTTTGTGGCAGTGCTGACCCTTAAAAAAAAACAGGCATTGTCGTGCCGGCTGAAACTTTTTCTCCCTCCCTCCCTGTCCCCCTCCCAAGGCTGTAATTATAAATCTGTCCCCATTCTCCCCCAGAAAAAAAGGCAGGCGGGCACAAAGCACATTCCTGCCAAAATCTGTCTCTTTTCTAAAGGACGGCAAGCTTCCAAATGCCAATGAGGGAAAAACAGCTGAGAGGCTGAACGTCTTGTAAATAAATAAACCCGCCCTAACCCCTCTGTTTACTTTGTGGACCAGACAAAGCTCTTCAACCTTCCCTCACCTGTCATCTTCATATAAAATACATACAAAATATAGAAAAGCAATCCCGTGGGGGCGGGGCGGGCGGGTTAGGGGACAGCTGAAGCATGGAATCTGCTTTTGATTTACCGAGGGAAATAAATCTCTTATTCTCCACAGTCCGTAGTCTCTTCACTCCCACCTCACATTTAAGACCAGTTAAAGCTGCAGATAGTAAACTGCGGGCTCTTTGCAATTTGGGGATCTCTTGTTCCGATTTTCCTTGAAATACAGTACTTCGGCTGGACGAATAGGTCAGTGTTTGCTGAGATAATTTTATTTTTAGTTTTATGAAGTGTGAAAGAACGTTAGGAGATTTTAGATCAGGGACCTATTATTTTAGACTCAGATTAATGTAGGTGCTTGACTCTTAAAATTAAAACTGTTCCTATAAGGTAGTGTTATGAAAACTATGATTTATCCCTTATTTTGTAATATAATGGCTTAAATTAGTCATTCAAATTGCACTGTGACTGGTTGAGAATTTTTTCCCCCAAGAGTTAAATCCTATTTTAAGACCATTTTACTGCTGCAAAATTGACTCTTTGAGCAACAAGGCCTGAAATGCAGTTTTAGGATGCTGAAAACTATCCATTGGATAAGCTGAAGACACGAAACAATGGAAGGAATACCAAATACTACATGTGGTCATTAACTGGCAAGAATTGTTTGCATTGCTGGTCCACTGCTGATGGAAGTAGTTGGAGAGGGCACCATTTGCAGGTGGCAATGAGTATCCATTCCATCACCCACCCTGTAGTTTGCTAAGGCCTTTTACTTGCTTGTTAACTTCAGCTTCATCATTTTCTAGCCTCAGATGAACCTTAACACAACAAAGCATAATACATTTAAGAGAAATAGATATAGTGTACCCTGAAGAATCTAGGGTAAGAACTTATTCTCTGCCTGAGGCTTTGCAGTGTAACTTTCAGCTGGGAAAAAACCCCAGTAAGAAAGCCCAAGCAAAATGAACAATGTAGTAAAAGTATAACTGCCTAATAAGTTGCCACTAATAACATAGCCAGACAACCCAGTTGTCTATAAGAGGGCTTTAACTTAATGACAAGGCTTACTTATTACATTAGGTAATATTAGGTTTTAATTTTGGGGGACCTAATTTCTTTCCCTTGCATGCCAACCTCACATGCCAATTGTCAGAAATTGATGGCCTCACCTTTAATCCCCTGTGAATAAGTGTTCTGTATCCCTGTAACAGTCCACCTTCAACTGCCACAACAAATTTCTAAGAGAACAATCATCTTAGTCAGATGCTGAAGGAGGACACTGGCTGCTGCTTCTGGCATTTTGTCAGAGGGGAAGTAAAGAACAAAACACTCCCTTGGTTATATGTGTATATTATTCAGCCCATATAAAATTTTGGTGCCACACTTGGAGAGATTGGTGTCCATGTATTATATTCTCAACTATGGGAATTGAAAAATAAAATCTATCACTGGGAGTAGAGATTAAATATAGATACCACCTCCCCTTTTCCCCTCATACTGGTCCAGGAAAGCACCACCTTCTCCCTTCAGATCTTTCCTCTGAAGAATCGTGTTTGTAGCTTACACTGCAGCAAGTAGGAATTTTATAAAATAAGGCCTATCCTCTGGAGAAATGAAAAGGCAGCACCATTCACTGGGTATGAAAAAAAGACTGTAGAACACATAGCATGAACTTCATCTCTAAAGTAAAGCAATATTTAACAATTCACGTGAGGAGGAAGATGATAAGTTTCTTTTGTTTTGCAGAAAATCACACAGAAGCAAATATGGTTGGAGGCTAAAAGGACTCCAAGAGCTGCCCATAATGCTACACACATTCAAAGCTTTTCCTTTTGGACTTTGATGAGTCAAAATGTGCCCTCTGACATGCTTTTCTCTTTCTAGTTTGGCATCAAGAGATAGAAGTCTCTTTTTCCTGTCTGGATGGCCACATTCACCTGTTAGGTAAGTCAACTGTGGTTGAAGTTCTGTACAGAGTAGATGTTGGGCTTGAAAATGGATATCTAGTTACAGCACGCACGTAAGGACAAATTCCCTGCACAAAATTAGGAAGCTTCTAGTCCCAGCAGGCGAACTGTTGGCTGAAATGATGCCTAGCTGTTCAAACGCGAGCAAGTAATGCTACCATTAGGGAATGAGTACTTTATCTACAGTAATGTAACCTAACCTTTGACAAAGTGAGTCAGCCTACGTTTAATTTAGTGAAGAGTTTAGAATCTGCAAGTACACTTATTACACACCCCTCTCCCTTTTTTCCAGTCAACAGTCCCAATAGATTTTGTTTCTCCACACTCATTCCTCCAAATTAGTACCCCAATTCTCTTTGTGATCATATCACTCTCTAGTTTAAAAGCCATTGTCTATTACCCATCCATGCTATGATAAATATCAGGATCTTTGGCATGACCTCCAAGGCTGTGCATGGACAGATCTCTGCCAGCCTTGTTGGCCTCCCCCAAATGCTGGAGCCATGAAACCTGGTCTATCAGCTGGTTCCTAAGGAGCCATCCTGGATATTCTTCCCTCTCACCGAAATGCATGTTCCCGGTCCACATTCTGCAAAGCTCAGCTATGGTCCAGCATCCTCCTAGTGGCCCTTCTTGTACTCCCCAGGCAAAGGAAGCGGCTTTTACTACTCTGCTCCCATAGCAACCAGTGTACCTCCATTATCACACTTACCACTTTGATGCGATTATTTGTTTGGTAACCTCCACTAGCCAGTTAGCAGTGCCTGGGGGGTGTAGAGCAAGTTCAATTCATCTTTGAAGCCTCAGCAATTAGCTGGATGTCTAGCACATTGTAT